CGGTGGGTTGAGAGGCACAGGGACAACTCTCAGAGCAAAACCCAGGCTGTGGAGTTGCTCCGGCGGGTGCGACTAGAGCTGGTGGATCCTGGATTTCTCCGGAAAGCGAGGAGGAGGAACCCGGTGAGATGGGAACCAAATAATGAGGTTACTAGTCATAACCAAAAAAATATCAAAACATTATCAGATAGAGTGTGTAGATTTTTTTAAAATGTAGAAATAAATGTCCTAGGTGCTGCTGCGGGATGCAGAGTGCTTTGGGATGATCGATGCTGCCCTGCAGACCTCAGGTCTCTGTGAGACGTCCGCTCCACCTCGTCCACCTCTTCGATACGGCATGGAGACAACGGATTTGCTGCTCTGTTTGGGTGGAGTGAACACCGAGGGTGTGCCAGCGAGACGTGGAGGACTTGCTGACCAAAGTTTTTGTTTTGCACCCCTTGGTAGAAAGACCTACTACATCCCGTCTCCGCTGAGGGACTGTGGCGGCCAGGGCCAGGTCACAGCAGGAGCAGTGACCCTGGACAGCAGCATACTGGTGGCTGCAGAGGCAGAGGATCAACACAGGAGGAAGAGGCTGGATATCTATAAGTTAGGACAATTCCTTGAAAAAGCATTCATATTTCTTGAACTTGTTACAACTGAAAACTTTTCCAAATCGTCACTTTTGAAAAATAATGACCTATGTGATTTATTATTATTATTATTATTATTATTATTATTATTATTATTTTTATTTTTATTATTATTATTATTATTATTATTATTATTATTATTATTATTATTTTACATTTTTTTGCCATAAGTGATTTATTTTGCAAGAGGTAGTGATTTTTTCCCCCCAACAAAATCATCTTTAGGCAAAAAATAATTTAGGCCATTATTTTGTGAAGGTGATGAAACAATACTAAAAAATGGTGGCATGCATGTGTTCAGCTCTCTTTTTAGTTGTTATAGGTGCTTATTGAACAAATACAAAATTTTGTACGATTTTTAATGAATTATGAATTAATGTGTGAGCAACAGACAACCTTAATTTCCCTACGGGATTAATAAAGTTTTACCTAACCTAACCTAACCTAACCTAACCACAACGAATACTAATGAACACAGCACCCTGCTGTGTTTTCAGCAGAGTAAGGCTTTTAAATCCTTCTGAAAATGGAAAGAATATGAAATATCTGCAAAACTACCATGGGATTGATGTATTCCCAAGCTGACAGATTGTCAAAGTCAGTATTATTCTGAGAAGCATCCAAGAAGTCCATGATAACTCTGGAGGAACTGAACAACCGCTAAGACAACTTTAATCATGTATTCCACAAACCTGGTCTTAATGGAAGACTGGCATAAAAAAAAAAAACCAAAAAAAAAACCCTGTTGTTGGAATAATAGCAACGATAAATCACATTTGCATTTTACTACAAGCCATTTAGGACAGACGTTCCCAACCCTGGTCCTCAGAGCCCAGGGGACTGCAGGTTTTAGACGCATCTCCACTCCACCACAACTGATTCAAATAATTGCAGTAACTCCTTAGCTTACCTCCACCATCTGCAGAAGCCTGTTAATCACCCTCTCATTAAAGACAGGTGCACAGCAGCAGAAAATTGGAGATACTTATAAACTGATGTTCACACATGCTCTCCATCTATTGTGACTGAGTTTGAGAGACAGCAATGAATGTCCAGATGCTCAACACTGGTAGACACCTTGATCAAAGAATTTGATGGAGTTCAGGAAAGCTGCATGCACTCCACACACAGGCCAGTCATAAAATCTCAACAAAATATACTGAATTATGTTGATGTATAGATACGAAATGGGGAAAAGGAGCATGGACACTTTTCAAGGCACCGTATGTGGAAAATGAGACATTTAAAAAACAAAAAATCGCTGTTTCTGTTTCAGATACAGTCATTCTGAGGAGAAAATCTGGGTGAAGCTCTGCTCTGCACCCTACAGAGACATGTACGCTTTGGGGTTGGTCGGAGATGCTCTGTACCTCGTCGGCGGTCAGATGAAAGTGCGCAATCACTACGTCATAACGGACAGTGTGGACAGATGGTCGCTGAAGAGAGGAGGCAGCTGGCTCAGTTTCTCTCCTTTACCTCTTGCTTTGGCCTGCCACTGCGCTGTGAGCCTGAAGGAGCGTCTCTACGTGCTGGGGGGCTGGACCCCACAGGTACAATGTGTATGCGATCATGTGTCAGAAGGAAAAGCGATGCTTAGAGTAGGCTTGGGCCAACTAATAGAAAAATCCTAAACAATATGGAGAGCCATTTCAGCCAAAATTACTTAAATAAATGGATTCTTTTTTCCTATTTATATTTGCTTATTTATACATTTATTTATTACTTTATTTGTTTATTACTTTATTTACTTATTTATTTATTCCCACATTTATTTCTGCCTGTACTTTTTTCATTTCCCTTGTTCATTTCCCATGAATCAGGAACAAATAAGTACAAATGAATAAGGAAAATGGAAAAAGGACAGGCAGAAATAAATACGGAAATAAATTAATAAATTTATATATAAATAGATATAAATAGGAATAAAGAAACCAATTATTTATCTATTTATTTAATTATTTACCTGTTTATTTATTTATTTCATCTTGGCTGAAATGGCTCTCCATCATCTGAACATTTGATCTTATTCTTTTCATCAATGTTCATGCAAATTAAAACGCTTTGTCTCCCCCTACTGGTAGAAACAACGAAGGGTGTTTAAAAAACTGTCCATTTCTTAGCTGATTAAATTCAAGCATGATTAAACTCTTCTCTGTAATTTATTTTGATTTCTAAGTGAGTTCCCTGTTTTCCTGTCTTTGAACTGCCCATCTTCCCTCTCGTACCTCAGGACCAGCCAGATGACGAGCCTGACAAGCTGAGTAACAGAGTGTTTCGATTTGACCCGAGCAAAGACAGGTGGACAGAGTGTGCCAGGATGAAATACTCCAGGTACCGCTGCGGCACAGCTGTACTCAACGGAGAAATCTACATATTAGGTCAGACTCCAGGACTATACACATATTTATCCTAGTTCAGTTTAGTTTATTTATATAGCAACAATTTACACAAAAAATTCTTTCAAGGCACCTTTTGTGACAAACGGGTCCAAAGTTTGCATGTCAATGTCCTGAAAAAGAGACATGGCAAAACGCAAAACCTAGCCTGGAGAACTAAAGAGAGAACACAAATATTAACTGAAGAAATAGCTCAGTCAGAAAATCATTTCAGGAAAGATACAGCTTAACTCAGGCACACCGGGGCAGGAATACTGTTAGGAAGAAATGAACAATAAAAAGAAAAGCTTTTGATAGCAATGATCTCTGTCACTCCGCCCCCACTGTAACTTTATTTCTATGGAGAAGAAAAACAGAGCACACATTTCTATTTGTTACAATAACTGGGTCACCGACTCTGCTGAGGAAAATAGACACAACTAACCCAAAGTCACTGAACCAGCCATCTTCAATGGAAAGTGTAAAAATGCAGCTGGGCAAAGGCATATGAAGTTTATTTTAAGTTTTCTGAACGGAAACATTTTTGTCTGTGTGTGTTTACAGGCGGTATAGGATGTGATGGCGAGGACTGTGGACAATCACGCCGCTGTCTGAGCTCCGTAGAAATTTACAACCCAGATGCAGACAGCTGGAGGCCCGGTCCAACGCTCCCTACAGCCCTGCTTTCGCTTCGAACCAACGCCTCCAACATAGGAACGGTAGAAGGAAAGCTCTACCTCTGCGGATACTACAAAGGGGTTGGTGAGTGACACTTCCTGTTCCTATATATGGTTTTCAAGCTGCATTCTGGATGCATCAGAATAAAGGAATGTAAGATGACGAATGAGACATTGTTTCTAACCCAAATTAGATTTTTGGGTCAAGCATCATCATCGTCATACGTTTACTGCAGGTCGTCATGAGATCATCACCAAGGAGATTTTGGAGTTAGACCCTGCAGACTATGTATGGACAGTTGTGGAAAGACGAGCGGCGATGCACGACAACTATGATGTTTGTCTGGTGGCTAACCTCAATCCTCGGGACCTCCTGACACCCTGACACAAGCACCTCCTCTTGACTCTCTGGGCAACAACATTGCGGGGGCCTGATATGTGTGTGTGTTGGAGGGGGTACGGGGTGTCTGCAGGAGCAGCCATTTTTACAAAGCTTCATTCTAACATAAACTCTTCACTCCCACATGCCATACATCTCAAAACAAGACTAAATGAAATAGGCCTGTGTGCATTTAGTTTGTGTGAACCATTTCGCTGCTTGACAGATAAAATGGATGACTTTCATTGAATAGCTTTTAATTAAAACACTTTCTCAGAGGCTTGCAGAATTGGTTTTTGTTTTTTTGTTTTTTTAACAAAAGTTGTCTGTAAAACTTAGCATAAAAACAGATCGTAGGTGCCTTTTTGCAACCTATTTGACATGAACATACAATAATTTCAGGATAAACTTCCTGACGTCATTTTGTAAAGCACACTCCAAGCTTAATAGCTACCCTGGAAGAGATGTGTAAAAATGTTTAAGATGTGTAAAAATCTTTTTTATGCAGTAACATGCTTTTACAGAAAGCTCATCTTGAAATTTAGATTACATATTCGGTGAAATTAATTTAATTTAGAATTATCATTATACTACTAAAACTTTCCACTACCATTTTTGACAAACAGACAACACTTTTTTTTATATATATTTTTTCCATACAGTTTCACAGAGAAAGGTATTTTTGACCATTTCTTTTTGCACAATTTTTCAGAAGCCTGGATCCTTTCTTTTTAGGATGTAGGTCTTTGAACTGTGATGGTCAGTGAATGAATGAATGAAGTTTTGTTGCCAGAATGATCATTTTGGTGTTGATTTGACCATGTTCTACGTTTTAAAAAAGCAAAAAAAGAAAAATTTGGAAGAATTAATTCTGTAGCATCTTCAGATTTAGTGGAACTCTTGTAACAACCATAAGTCATAACCACGACTCTGGGAGTATCTTTAAGCGGCTTCAAGGCAACCAGTGTCCTTCTACAAGGATAACAGTGCAGGTGTGTCAGTGGGAGTGATGAAACGTGGGAAACTCCTCTGACATTCCCAGAAAGGATACTTCCAGCTTCCCAGCTTCCAGTCTGAATCCGACATGAAGGAGTGGTTTTTCCTGGCTTTGGGTGAGTGAACTAAAGCCTGTTCTTTTTTAAAATTTTCACTGCATGCTTTCATATTGCCATTTAGCCATAACATAGATTACGCAATCAGAATTTCTGAATAACTTACTTTTTGCAATAATAGAGCTGGTATATTTTTTACACCACAAAAGCCGTCTGTGCATGTGTTGCATGATCCTATCTCCTGAAACTAAGATGGTCCATGAATAATTCTTTAAATAAATTGATGCAAATAGTTCAAACAAATTCAAACAACCTCTGGTTGAATCATGATGTGTATTTTGAAGGAAAAATAAGGAAGAGTTTCCTGAATGACTGAAGATTTTCAGTTTTACCGTCAAGAACAATGGATGGATGCCTACCTGCACTGGTTCAATTATTAATCAACACTTTCTTCGTCATTCTAGAATGTCTCTTTATGCAAATATGTCACCAGTCCTTACTGCAAAAGAGACGCTGTGCTTTCCAAGTGACAAACATAAGGAACCACGGCTACTCTGCAGCTGGGAATGTGAGTGGCTCCGTGCAGCTCTGTGAAAACACCGACTGCTGTATGGCCATTTATCGAATCATAAATGGCCAGCTGGAGGTCGACACGCTCGGTGAGAAAGCTCCATGCCCAAACGAGAGAATCAGGAAGTTATTTAACAGAAAAACAGTCAAAATTTATGTTAATTTAAAATCCAAGAACAAAGATTTATGAAGGAATAATTCTTTCAAACATCAAGAGTGTTTATGCATTATTCTTATTCATGTGTTTGTTATTTTTTAGCGTGCGACAGGGTAAAAATGCTTTGCCCACATGAAAGCTGCAAGGCGCAACCACACTTCATAGATAACTTTGTGACATGTACATGCAGTACAGACCTGTGCAACAGAAACATCTCATTGAGTCCAGAACCAGAACAGCCTCCAGAAACCCACCACCATATAGCAGGTACTCACCAAAAGCAATTTTTGCTTTGTTTTCACAAAGTGTGACTAATTCAAACAAAAATAAAAAAGGAAAGAAAAGAAAAGAAAAGGATCTGTATTTGTTTTTTGCCCTTTTTTCTTTTAGTTGAAATCACACAAGCAGTGGTGGTGGTGTTGATTCTGTCCCTCGCCGTTCTCATCGTTATTGCTGTCAAGTGGAGAAAACTCTGCAAGGAAAAGAGTAAGCTTCATTTTCTGGTGTTTTGTTTTTAGAAGTTTTTTTTTTGTTTTTTTTCCGGAAACATGTCGAATTACCACAACACCTTTAATGTCTCCTGCTTAGATCAGCTTAGACAGATGGATGTACTTGATATTCAGGCTTTTCCAATCAAATGTACGGCTGAAACTAGAAGATCAGAACAAAATACTGAGAAAAATTCAAAGTCCATCTCAAGCTTCCCTTTTAATGGATTTGGGAGAAACTTTAATATGTCCCATCTTTTATACACAGCTTCCTATTTGTGCTTTTTGCATTTTGCTAAAAGCTTCATTTGCTTCTGTGGTTCAGTAATAGATTTTCAGAGATTTACTCCTAAAAGATTAATCAGAACCCTGTTTTTGATCCCGCCATGAACATTTAGGGACATTGAATGTCATGAACAGACTTTGAATCTTGAAATGAACAACTTATTTTGACTGAATGTGGTATAGCCGGATAAAAAAATATATATAAAAAATACATAGGTTGTTTTCTTATGTTTTTCATAATATTAATAATGTCCCTCAAATATGTTATGAAAGATTTTACTTTTCTTTAAAATACATTTCCAGTGAAAAGATGCATGAAAAATTTCTGCAGCACATTTTTTAGTCACTGTTGCATCAACTATTGGAGTCATTGCCACAACAGTGTATTACTGGTTAAATACACCCTAATTGTTTTTCATGGAGATTTAAGTCACCATAAAAGTTCGTTATAAATGTAATGAATTTAAAATATGTTTTTGTGTAGTTAAACAATGTTGTGTATATAAAAAAAAAACAATTTTGCAGTTGTTAATAATTTGTAGAGGAATAAAATTATGTTTACTTGTACACTAAAGAATCTACATGCTTTAAAGTTGGGTAAAGTTTTAAAGGTTATGAAAGTATATAGCAAGTCTTACCTGAATGTGAATTTTTTTTATTGATTAATTTCTGTTTTCTTCATATTCAGAGTCTTTTACTGCTCTTCTTCATTTTGTCCTGTTTTTCAGCCAAAATGAAGATCCAAATTGAAGGTAAGTTCAGACACGCTGGTGAAGATCCAGATGTCTTTCTCTGATAAAGCAACACAGAGCTGGACCTTGATGGCCACTTTAGTAACAAACCAGTTATTGTCCTGATCCCACCTGTGCATTGACCTAATCAGACAAACACAAGTGTTTTTGTTCTTATATCAAACAAACAAATAAACAAAAAAACAAACAAAAAAAACGATAAATAATTCCTGAGTGATTGTTTGAACTTTTTATCTTATTTTTATGACTTTTTCAGGATGTCTCCACTAAACCTCGAGTCTCTTTCATAGTCTGCTAAAACTGTCCTTGGTGTTTATATTTGACACATAACTCCCCTTTACCTTTGCTGCTCTTCCGCAACATCTTAGCAGATGTTTAGTCAGGCCTGCTTAAAGAGAATAAATACACCTGCATGTCTGCCCAATCCACTTTAAAAGGTTTTATATAATTTTAGAGGAGTATCTGCAGTCGACGTGTCAGGACTATAATATCCAACAAACGTGTTCCTGTCAAATAAAAACTTCAGAGAACCAGATTACTGACATTGAACTGCAGGGGGTAAGTCTGACAGTGAACGTTTCCCTGTTCTCCAGCCATTTTAATTAAGTCTTAATAGCTCTTTCATTGTTTTTTTTTTGTTTTTGTTTTTTTTTATCTTACAGGTTCTTGGACAGGGGCATTTTGCAACTGTTTATGAAGGGAAGCAAAGGGGAAGTATGGTGGCTGTGAAAGTGTACGCTGAAAACGGGAAGCATCAATTTATGAATGAAAAGGAGGTTTATGAGCTTCCACTGATGAAGCACGAGAGGATTCTCCAGTTTCTAGGCACGGAGAGGAAACCAGACGATAGCAGCCTGCTCATTGTGCTCCAGTACGCTGAACATGTGAGTACGAACAGGTCCTCTCATATTAACTCTTCTGAGCTGCATAAAGGGCTTGGTTGGGGTAAACAAAAAGAAAGATCCAAGAGTAATCTTCATACCTCCTTTTATTTTTATTTTGGATGTTGACAGTTTAGCTGGATTTATATTGTTTCTCTCTCTTTTTTTTTTTTATCCTTTGGACTGAGTGCCAAACTCCTTGAGTCCTGGACAGTCGTCTTGTCTTTGATTTCAGGGTTCTCTTCATTCCTTTCTGTGTAAACACGCCAGCAGCTGGGTGCTGACCATGAGGCTGTGCCAGTCCTTATCGGAGGGACTTTCCTATCTCCACTCTGACCTCCGCAGCAATGGTACTGGCCAGAATCCCACACCACAAAAATATGTCTGCTTGTTCACATTGTAGCATTCACGCTAGAGACCTGAATCTGACGGTACTTAACCGATGACGTGTTCCTTCTAACCAAAAACTGTTACAGAAACTTGATTAGCCGGGTGATGAAATATGGATTCCTACCGCATGGTTTAGCAAAAATACTACATTTTTAAAGGGTTTGCAAAAAAAAAAAAGTGTAAATTTGCATGTAGTGTGCTGAAATCAAGGTGATTCTGAAAGAGATACATTAATCGCTTCTTCACAAGCAAATGCCTCTTTAAATCATAAACAACTGATACCCAGTTGAGATATAATGTGATAACTTATCAAAATATCACATCTCTTTCATGCAGCAGAGAAGTTTTTTGACTTCTTTTGCTAATGTTGCCAACAATAATAAGAAGGATATAATAAACTTCAAGCAGGGTGAGGCTGGATTATATTGTCGGGTTCATCGTAAATCTCGCTGCCAAGCATCTTTCAGCTCATACCCCTTAAAAAAAAAAAAAAAAAAAACTTTTAACAATTTATCATCAGTAAATTATCCAGAAATCTAGACATAGCTCTCACAAATGTTTACAACTGCAGCTGTGCAGGATACAAGCCATTGCAGAAAAATGTGACTAAAAGGATGCATTGGAAATGTCTGAGTCTTTCTCTTGCACAGATGTGCACAAGCCTCCCGTTGCCCACAGAGACCTGAGCAGCTCCAACGTGCTGGTCAGAACAGACGGGACTTGTGTCTTGTGCGATTTTGGATCCTCCACGATCCTGCGTTCTTGTTCAGGACATCGCTTCTGGAGGAACCACTCCACAACCATCACGGTGAGTAACATCAAAGATGTTACTGCCGAATTATGTCATTTAAAAAAACAAAACAAAAACAAACAAAAAAAAAAACCTCAAACAGAAAAGAAACGATCTGCACAATATAATTAGAGGTGACCGATTTTATGTCTACTGAAGCTCTTAAAAGGAACCATGCTTGTTTTTTTAAATTAACAGGGTCATCTTCAGTTTTGCACGCTCAACTACATGTCCCCTGAGATCCTGGAGGGCTCTGTGAACCTCAGCAGCAGCTCATTTCTCCTGCAGGGCGACATCTATGCCTTAGGTCTGATTTTGTGGGAGATATGGATGCGCTGTTCTGATTTGTTTGCAGGTAAGTTACTGTTGTAACAAAAGTAATATATTGATTTTTTTGGAACAGAGCTGCATTCTTTAGGAGTTTGTTTTTGCACCAAACCCAGAATAATTTCAGATTTACTAGTTGGTTCAGATACAGTTTTGCAATGTGAATCCATTTGTAAGTTTATCTCTATTTGAAGACCAATTCTGCTGTCATTGATTGGGTTAAAGTGTAGACCAGTTTAAACAGCCACAGTAAAAAAATGAACATCTTATTTATGATATTTTATAATGGGACAGATTGGGATTTTCTATATGAAATTAAGTTGTTATAAACATTTGAAACATTACCTGCGGTACCTTGTGCCATCTTCATTTACTATCCAGATTAATTCACTGAAAGTTGAAGCCAACATCCAGTAATAGAGCAATCAAAATCAAAGTGGATTCTTCTAGGATCTTAAAATAACTTCACAATAAAAGACATTATAGTGATTTTTTTTGTAAACATTTTAATCATCATCATGTTGGAGTTTGATTTGGTCTTAGCCATTCTTGGATTAACAATTATCCTCAGGTCCAGGGACTACCTAATCTGGATTAATTCTACATAAAGATGACACAATAAAAATGTTGAACTATATGCCGTTAAGTTCAGCCTTCAGATGAAAAAGATCTTTATAAATGAGGTTTTGATCCTATAAAGTATTGACCAGAGGGTGGTGCTCCAGGACTGAATGTTCGAACGGACTGCAGGAGTTCACCCTTTAACTCAGCTTTTCATTTCTTAATCAGTTGTTATAAAAGTTCTAGATATTATGAGCATGTCACGTAACACCTGTAAGAAATGTTCATCTCCTCAGAAGTCCCTCCCTAGATATTCCTAAAACCACCTAGTTATGCAGTTTGTGCACACGTCCTAACTGGTTGGTATGGCAGGTGGTTTAGTAAAATAATAATAATAATAATAATAATAATAATAATAATAATAATAATAATAATAATAATAATAATAAAACTTTAAACTGATTGAACACTCTTTTTCTGTTTCCCCATATGTGCACAGAAATGTCAAAAATGCACTTTTAGGATTTTGTGGTACAAAGAAAGCAGAAACCCAGACTGTAGCCGATAGGTTTGCTGCTTAAAGCTTGTTTTCCACATTATGTTTTTCAAAATCCTAAATTGTGCAAGACAGTTCATATTGTGCGAACAGATTACAGATTAAATTCGTTTCAGAGTTTGTGCAAACACTATCACCTACAGGGGGCGCTGTTCCAGAGCATCTCCTGCCTTATGAACTGGAGCTGGATGCCAATGTAACACTGGAGAGGCTCATCCTGTTTGTGTCTGAGATGGACAGGAGACCCTCCATTCCTGGAAACTGGGAGATGTTACCACAGGTATTAACCGAGACTTTGCTCTCGCTCATGGTTGTGTGGCTGAATATCAACAGTGTGACACGTTGACTGTAAACTAACTAAACCTTTTTCAGGGATCTGGACTGAAGGAGCTGCTGTCAGACTGCTGGGACCGAGACACAGACGCTCGGCTGTCAGCTCCGTGCATCGTAGACAGATTAATGTCTCTGTAACCTTTTAAAAGCGATGATTTTTGTTTTCTTTTTTTTTTCAAGTTGATACATTTATGGATATAAAGACACTAGTTCTCGTTTTGTCTCACCGCTGTTTGTTGAAGTTTCTCATTTTTAGCGTACTAACAGTTCACATGTAATCTGATCGCATAAGCTTTCAATAAAGACGTTTTTGATTGAAGTTTGATTACTTTTTTTATTTAGAAAAAAATAGTCACACGTCATGGAGATGCTAGCAAAAAACAAAATTATATAAAACAAAATAATGTGAAAATTTGCTGGGGCAGTAATCGCTACATTTAAATGCTATACATTGTGTGTTGCATTGAAGCATAATGAACACATTCCACTGTCTTTTCCATCCTGCACAACTGTTTTTTATTATTATTATTATTATTATTTTATCACCTTTTGATTTTATGTGACACATTCTTCACACTGGTTTTAACAAAGAGATGCATTTGGCAGAAAAGTGCGAGGAACCTCTGGCAATTTCTGTGACTAAATTTGTGCATCTCGGGCTCATTCATTCAGTGTAGCAGCAATTCTCAAAAAAATAAGAAGCACATTTTAATGTGCATCTTCATAGCAGTAAAATGACTGGATTGGATATGTATTACAGATTTCTGCTCTTGAAATCCTTTTTGTGAAGTTAATATTGTTTGTTGTGTCTAATTTTGTCTATAAAAAAGGGATCATTAAAATGTATTATCAGTAAGTTCAATTAACCAGGTGTGCATTACATATGAATTATTAAGAGGTCATTTAGTACATTTAATATTTAAAGTTGAATTTTTTGATCAATTTCTACGTCTAGCTAATTTTACACAATGAAATGCTGTTTTTTCCTCGTGAACTTTCGTCTTAATATAGGAGAGGATAAATGAGTAAGGCTTACTTTCTCTGACTGGTAAAACATCAGGAAACAAGGCTGAGTGATGTGGGGGAAGTGGGTTCAATCTGACCGGCAGGGCAGCACATTCCGGACATATTTCCCTTCTCATGTGCTGCTCAGCCAAGAATGAGTCCTCGGAAAACCCAAAATGATTCCCTGATGGGCGTGACGCGCAGGGATGTTGGAATAAGGAGGCTCCACCCATCTCTGTGGACCATGTGGTCCCCAACGCTCCTGTTGCTGAGCTCATAAGCTGGGAGAGAAACAGAAATAACAGTAGCTGTCAGGATGACTCAGATCTTTGTTAGCGTGTTTGTCTGCGCTGCGATTTCGTTCTTGCTCCTATAACTCTCTATATGGGCAACTCCAAGCCTCCCTGCGCCACCTTTCGCAACAAACTCTGTACAATTTGGAGATCCGGTGAAAGCTCCTGACAGCTGCGCTCCGTGCCCGGGGGAGGATGGGCAGACGTGAGGCGCACAGCACAGGCGAGATGAACCCCAGCCACCTCTCCGAGCTCGGCTGCCTGCAGGACTCGGCGTCCAGCGACCACCAGCACCACCAGCAGCAGCATCAGCAGCGCCACCACGGCGAGCAGCTCCGGAGGACTGACAGCGGTCACCCGTGCAGCGCAGACATGAGGCAAAGGAAGGCGGACCTGGCCGCGGCGGTAGCGCCGGTGGAAGTGAAGAAGCACCAGCATAAACACAACCTGAAGCACCGCTATGAGGTGATGGAGACGCTGGGAAAAGGCACCTACGGCAAAGTCAAAAAAGCGGTGGAGAGAGCCAGCATGAGAACAGTGAGTAACAGTTGTAGGATTTATATTTTATACACGAAAAAAAAATCTGTAAAATGTAGCTGTGAAGCAACCAGTTTTTGAAATGTTACAGAAAGTTTAGAAATTTAGAATTTAGAAAGTTTTTTTTTATTTTATTTTTTTTTAGGAAGGACAAATGAGAGGTGGGCTGATAACCACGGGGTGGTTCACCAAACCAAAATGTTTGATAACAAAGTAATTAAATGCAAATCTCTGTAGAATCACATTGTTCAAACAACCAAATAGTTTCTGAGTTCATATTTTTAAGCACATGAATCCCAGGTCCAAGATGATGCCAGGAGCGAGGGATGAACATACAAAAGGGGGCCAGATGAAGGACAACACAGAAATACATACTAGATGTTGTTCTGTTGTCTGCTAAATTCATGTACCAGGGGTGTGTCGTGGTCCCTGTGTCTATATCTGCTTGCTGTGGGTCTTAATTATTGATGCTGAATACTTGCTTCCTGTTCTGCCAGGCTGAAATGCCTTTGCTCTGACTCACTCAGCGTTTGGGGTATAAGAACCCTACAATCGGCCTCCAACAGTGGTTTGACCCAGTTCACTGGAAACCAGCAAAAACCCATCTTATGCATTGACAGATATTATCTATTTTACTTCCGAACTGCAGATTCTGACAGTGGGCAGATGACTTGTTAGTGGATTTCTGCTGACTCTACTGCAATCTGACCAACAAGAGGCACAGTGCTTTTACCTCTACCCTCCGTTTTGGAAGACAAACACATGCCAGTAGTGGGAAGTTTTTGGGAAATTAGAGCTTGGATCTTGTGCTTGTCGCTTCACCTCTAACCCTAAGCATCTAATTGGGATGGGAGAAAACAAGGCATGAAGAGCAGCTCTAGAGTGTGTGTGTGTGAGCAGAGTGAGAGGGTTTGTTGGGACATGAGGAAAATGCAGAATTCCTTGTGCCATTAGCCAGCGCATACCAAGGATTCTTTGAAACAAAACTGACATTATTTTTGGAAACAAGGCTAAGGGGCTGTTGTTTGAGCTCAGCAAAAAGGGCAGAAGAAAAGGAGGAGAAGGTAGAGGAGAGTTTTAGAGCAAATTGAAGATGAGACAGTGGTTTTAGATTTGGGATCAGAATTACCAACGTGCCAGAAATGTCACAGGATTGGATCAAAACTAATTCAAAGAAAAAAAATGAAGGATTCGGTTTAAGATTTGACTAATTATAAATGTGTCTGATGTGTTTTATTCCGTAATACATAATTGTATCAGATGTTTATAGGACCTAAGTTGTAATGCAGTATTTTAAGAGAAAAACAAGTTTTGTTTTTTGTTATCTTGCAGGACCATTGTCTTTACACCAAATGGAGGCTTGGAAAAATTGTTTATAATTATTTTATGTTCCAACATGTTAGAACAACAGACATGAATGTATTTTGATAGGTTTGACCAGCAGAAAAATACTAATCATTTTTGATGAAAAAGGAAAATTATACATGCTTTACATTTTTCTAAATGAAGAGAAACGTGAAAAGTGCATTGTGTTCAGCACCCGAGTGATGCTGCAAATTTATAAAAACACTGTAACCACAGCTGCAGGTAATTTACCAAGTTTTAAACAGTTCACTTCCAGAATAGTCCTGCTTTTAACACTGTGATCTTCCCACCAACTCTTTTTCAATGTCTGATTTTCCCTGCATGACTTGGAGCAAACTGCAAATCCAACTAATTCAGGTTTTCAAATCGCAAAAGAAGAACATGGCAAAAAGGATCTTCACATTTACCACTTATTGCATTATGTTTTTTTTTGTTAGTTTGTTTTCTCCATGTGAACACCTCGGCATATTTTAATAGAATCCTAAAGCCAAATCCTCTGCTTCCACCCTGCGTGAGATGATGAAGACCTATTTCCTTTAACGTCAAATTACTACAGTGTGCCTGTCTTGGTCCAGATCCCTGTAAGCAGCACATAGCACAGTTTGTAATTGTTGGCTATGAAAGGAACAGCTTAAGGCTCTGTGTTTAGCCGAGCCCTGAGGTCCAGGGTCTGTTTGGCAACGATCCCGTCTAATCCCACAGCTAAATCTTACGCAGATGCTTTAGTGACTCTTGGGATGCATATGTGTGCCTCTCCATGTATGTCCATGTCAGGAAATCTTAGACTTCAATAATAACTTGACGCACAATCACTCAGAAAACCATGTCAATTTTTCAGCCTCCTGCAGAGAAGGGAGAGGAGGATGGAGCTGTAAACTCCTGTTACTCTCACCCCGAAATAGCCTCTGGATTTCTACCTCTTTTGCTCTCACTTCAAGCACAACTCTGATCAGCTCTTGGTGACTCATGCAAGTGGCAGCTTATGTTTCCTGCTTTTGTGAAGCAGCGATTCTAATCTCAGAATTTGTCACTCAGCTCATTATATGGAAGAACAATGAGGCACAGCGATGCTTCTGATGTCTGCTCACAGCAGAGTGAGCTCATACAAGCGCACACATTCTCAATCTCCCCCCTATTGAAATTTGTCAAAAAGGGGTGAGCAATGCCTTCTTTATGCAAATTTTCAGCGGCTAATGCTGACAGCGAAACACAACTTGTTATTGCTCCTGTAATTTGTCCTGCTCTGTCCTTCACATTTTTGCTAAATTTGATTCAGTATCTCATTTCAGCCATCCATTTGCTTTGTGTAATTTCCTACTAGATATACTCTGACAACGAAACACACCTGGGTAACGAAGTATAGATTTTTCACCGCCGGATTTCACAAAAACATAGAGTTTTTATAGACACACAAGAAAACTGATAATCCTGACTTGTGTGTGTATGTGTCGGATGAGCAACGTTTGACTTGTGTCAGTGTAGATTCTGCAGTATTCAGGTCCCTCTTCACAAATCACTTCCATGTGTTTTATTGTTGACAAATCTTCCTGCTATCCATGCAGTGTTTTCCCATACTGTGGAACAAACACCTCCAAAAATAAGTGTTAGTGGAAACTTGTTTTTGGAAGGATAGACTCTATCTTAATTAAATATTGATTTACAATAATTTAGGAAAACAAATGCAAAAAAACAAACAAACAAAAACACACACACACACATGCACACACACATTGCTTTACAGGTAACAAATTATATCTGAAATAAGTTTGATTGATTTCACACACTCAAAAATATCTGTCTATTGCATTTAAATGGTGAAATAAAGGACTTCTACTAATGAATTCCACTTGCCACACTATTCCCTTTCTTTCCTCTTGTTGCTCTGGCTATTCAGGTCAGCAAATCACTAGTTAGCCAACACTGGACAAGTGCCATTCGGCTGATAACTGCTCAGCATATGGACTGCAGACTGCAGCCCTGCAATGGCAATTTCACTTCAGCACAAAGTCTCAGTTAATGTGGGAAAATGTCTCTGAATGTCTGTAGTTTGACCGTAGAAAATGCCAAGCATTCCCAAAAAGCAGCAATTTCCCTTCATTACATAGATTCCTCATCAATT